GCGATCGTGCACGCGTTCAAAGTATGGCGCTGTTACTTGACTGGCGCGGACGTGACAGTACGGACAGACCATAAATCACTACAGTACTTTCGCGCACAGCCACACCTCAACCCACGACAGATTCGCTGGCTCGATTTCTTCGAGTCCAACTTTCACTGCACGGTCACTTACAAAAAGGGAGCCTCGAACATCGCCGACGCACTGACCCGCCCCACTGCCTAGATCCACGCAATACTACTCGCCCAGACAAGCCCGCTACTGACAGGCCCATTCACCAACGGGTACCAAACGGATCCATTCTTCACAGGAGGAAATTCGCAGCAAAGGGAGTCTATTACGTAAAAACCGGGACTGACCGCATTTGGGTGCCTGGGTATACATTGCTTCGGGAATTACTGTTACAGGAGGCACACAATGGAGTTACCTCGGGGCATTTCGGAGTAGAAAAAACACGGCAGCAGCTGCAGCGGTATTATTACTGGCCCGAAATGTTGACCGACGTACAACGACACGTGGCATCGTGTCCCACTTGTCAGCTCATGAAATCATCACGACAGCGGCCGGCGGGACAGTTGCAGCCGATACCACCCCCAGAGCGTGCTTGGCAGCAGGTGTCGATGGACTTCATTACGGGGTTACCAGCCGGCGCGAGTGAGAACGACGCGATCTTGGTCGTCGTCGATCGACTGACGAAAATGGCACATTTCGCAGCCTTAAAAAAATCAATCACAACCAAAGAAACAGCACACCTCTTCATCTCCACCGTCGTAGCGACCGCGATACGAAATTCACCAGCAACTTCTGGCGGAACCTGTGGCAGCAGTTCGACACGCTACTACAGTTCAGTTCATCATACCACCCCGAAACCGACGGACAGACAGAACGGACAAATCAGACCATGGAACAGCTCATCAGGGCCACGTGTGACGACCCGACCACGCGGGAACAGCAACTGCCACTAATCAAATTCGCGTACAACAACTCGCCATCCGCCACGACCCAACAGTCACCATTTTACCTAAACTACGGACAAGACCCGACAGTACCCATGACCCCGAATCCCGACAACCCAGTACCACGAGCACAACAGTTCGCCGAAATATTACAAGCAGCACGGACCCGGGCAGTAGACGCAATAAAAAAATCGAACATCATCGCTAAACGCAACGCCGACCGCCACCGCTGACCTGTCACTTACCAGCCCGACGACTTAGTTTTACTTGACACTCAGAACCTCCGACTGCCCATCACCCCGAAACTCCGCCCCCGATACTGCAGGCCATTTCGCATAAGCCACATGCTTACACCCGTCACCGCCCACCTCCTCCTCCCTGCTAACTGGTACGTCAGCTCTTCATTCCACGTCAGCCTACTTCGCCCTTACGTCCCGTCCATGAGCCAACTGCCACGCAATCGCCCAGCCAGCATGACAAGACCACCAACTGAACCAATCATCACCCCCGAGAAAATCCTGAGTCACAGAGTTCGCGACCCTCGAGGAGCCCGAAGGATCGAGTTCTTACTCCGCTGGAAGGACCGTACACCCACCGAAGACAATTGGGTTCCCCTGGACAGAATCGAAAACCACCCCGTCCTCACCGAGTATATGCGCAGCCGAAATTTCAGGGATGCACACGCACTTTCGTAAGGAGGACCTCCTTAGGAGGGGGGGGGGTAGTGTAAGGAAAATTCCTTTTCCTTACTTCGCATCCCTGCTCAACGCGTACATCACTGTAGCACCACAGTCAGCACCGTTACCACTCGCAACCCTCACATCGACAATCCGCCCGCCACCTTCGCACATCGCACCCTGACCTCACGGCTCGGCGAGTAACCCGCGCTCCGGGCCTTTGCTTCGACAATTTCCCAACCTCAGTCCCAGGCCCGTCGCGCGACAACCACAGTCCATTACCGTTACCACTGTAGTTTCGCTATATATTCTTCGATAGTGCAATTCTCGTTCGTTCACTCAATTGCACTCGTAACAACTTGAAACTTAAGGTTTGAATATCCAAATTGAGTCTAGTGCGTAGAAGAAGATTGTGCTGGACCCGATAATGAATGGCGACAGTTGCACTGTACTGTTTCCGAAGGTTTAGGGCAGTCCACATTGTGCTTGCCGAACCCTGACGTGGCAATGCATATATTTTGGTAACTTGTAGCTTCCCCTCTTGTAGGGCAGGAAGAAAGGATTTTTCGGCCAACCATTGAGCCGTCAGGAAACGACTCAGCAGCCCAGAACATGTGGGCTTTCCTTCGACACATCAGCCTCCAAAGCGACCGACATAATCGAGGATGGCAACCAATCATGTGTCACCATCAGCTTAATTGTCACCGTTTCGAGACGCTGATGACGTGGCTAGTTTAGGTCTGGCAGGCTCAACCTGTGGCTCGGTCGGAGCTCTGGTAGGTTGAAAGTCCGGGGTGAAGCCTCTTCACCTCAACCATAGCGAGGATTTTGGTCTGGTCGCACTCCGAGCCACGATCTTCTCCGTGAAGCCTCGTTTGGCCAAGCTACCACTTTGGCCATCGATATTGGGTGTGATCGTTGGTCGATGAGAGAGGGTTTCCTTTCAATGGGGGGTGTGAGCTTCATTTTGGCTTGAGTTCTGGTTCGGTTCGGACCAGAGTTGCCTGCCTGATCGAGTTTGTTGGCCAGCTTTGCTGTGGCCTTCCACTCACTAGACAGTCGCAACCGCGGTTCCTGGGAGCTAGAGCAGCGCAGATTCCCCAAAGCCGCTAGCCTAGCCAATCAGGAGCCGATTGCATTTCGTCGCCATGTCATGCGCAAGAACCTCACACAGGAGCTCTGGATCACCCTTTTCAACCAACAACCAGTCACGCCTCAACCACGTGGCAGTGGGCACTTGGCGCCTCCTAGCCATCTCCAGGAAACCCCACAAAGCCTGGACGTCGGGTGTGGCTCGGCCGCAGCTCGGATCAAGGCAAGGAATATAATCAGCAGCTTCAGCAATCTCGAACACAGCAACATCGATTCAACCAAGCAAAAGTGAGACGTCTGGCACCTATCTCCAGGTCGGCAGACTGGGAAAGTAAGGTTCGGACATTCGAACCTCGATCTCAACCAATGACCTGCCCGACCAAACCTGCTCGCATCTCTTCGCGTTTACTTTCCCCGCCAAACCCGTGCCGAGCCTGGCTGGAGGCTGGATATGCCTCGGCCCAATCAGAGGTTTGTTTTGAAAACCTCGCTTTGATTGGCGGGAGAAGGAAGCACCAACTGCTTTGTGAAGGTGTTTTGCTGCCTGCAAGCCTCCTCTCCGTTCCTCTCCAGTTCTCTCTCCTCTCCTCTCTCCTTACCTTTCCTCCCCCTTTTACCAGAGCCTCTATTCGTCTAGGTTCTAGATGCGTGTGTCTGGGGTTGTGGAAGAAGAAGTAAGGTCACGGAAAGGTTTTGACCGGAGATTTGTTCTCCTTTTGGTTGCTTCTGGTTTCGCTGGTTGTTGCGATGGGTTTTGGTCGCAATGCCAGTCCCGTGACTGAGGCCGAGTTCGGCCTAGACGCTGACGCTGATAGGAATCTAATGAAAGCTGGCCGACGTTGCGGCTAGAAATTCGTTTCAGGCTTTCTAGATACGCCGTTAGGCGTGAAGGCTTTCTTCGATAGGCCAGATTTTCCAGTCGCGTGGATATTGTTGAAGTCAGAAATTCCGATCGTTATTTTGAGACGATGGACAGGATGAGAGAAACGAGAAAAGGCGATAAGGGTCCCGTGACCACTCCGACGCAGCGTCGCTCGCGGAGCTCCATTGGACCTAAGGAGACTCAAGGTAATTCAGATACTAGTCGACAATGCATAGTCATTCAATTACTCTATTAGATCCCGAGCCGTCACCTAGCTTTTTAGATGATGCGAAGTTACGGTGTGGATCTGAAGTTCCCTGAGGAAGTTAAGAAGATCAGTCCGCATTTTTTCATGAGCTTTAGTGAACGGTGTCGTGCTGTCGGCCTTTTCGTCGTGAGATTTGGCGATTATAAGAGACTCTTTGCGAACAACTTTCCAACTCCGTCGAACAGTTTTTTTTTCTCCAGTAGTTGGCATTTTTTTACGCAGCCGGAGGTTCCACTTAGCCGAGCGTTATTGGCTGATGCTGGTAGCTGGAACTGGCGAATTCTTGAGCCGTTAAAGTTTTTTTGTCGTTGATTTAAAGGAATGTCGGTGCAGTCGCCAGGTAGATGTAACTCACGTTAGCTTGGTAGACGTTGAACGTGTCAGGCTCGGTCGTTGTTACGAAAGGCAGCACTTTCTCCTCTCCATCCGCGTTAATGGCATACGAGATAACTGCGGTTATGACTTAAATGATCGGAGGTTTAGTTACGTAACGGTCGCTGAGCCTTCATGGCGCTAGTATTTTACAACAGAGCTTAACACTGTCGTTTACCCCCTTTATCCATTTGATAAATACCGATTCTTTTAAGCGCTTTGAGTTACAGATGGTTTATAGACGCCTGGTTTTAAGACGCTAAGAGTCTCTTTTCCTCTTGTGACTTTTATGTCCTTCTGCGGTATCTTATGCGCGGTAAAAGTAGCTCGATTTCCGTTTCGATTTCGTTTTATATTGATACCAATGGACCTCTGTCGAAGGGCCTTTTTTCACGATAGGAGAAAAAGCGGTCCTGTATCAGCCATATGGTTTTCTGAAGCATTTTTGCGCATCCTACATTCTTCGACATTTCCCTTGACCCACGAACAGATGCTGGGCATTCCACACCCGATGGGTCTGGACTTGAGAGCCACGGCTCACGAGGAGGAGGAATCGCGAGAGGTGACACAAGCGGAGGTGGTGGTATCGAAGGATCCAGTCGACACTCCGTCGACATTGGCGGCGGGAATAATGCTGGAGCTGGTACTAACGCGTACAACTCCACGGGGTCGAATAGCCGGAAGCGAGACAAACCGAGGGTAGGCTCTGGAGGATCCAACGGCTCAAAAACGAAGCGCAAGCGGAGTGCGTCCGAGGCCGTTTCCCCCTTCTCCCCTCAAGCGGACGAAGAGGAGGAGGCCACTCCGCCACCAGGCGCAGTCGCGGGAGCAGGGGAGGCCGTGGGGATTAGCGCGCATGGTGATTTCCCCTCGCCCGGGGACCCGCGCGAGGACTCCTCCGCGGGATCGAGGCGTCCGCCGAAGTTCCGCCTTCCAGGCTCGAAGCTCGAGGTACGTGCGGAAAGGGGTAGCGGGTAACGAGGGAAACCGCTGGTTGTGCCTGATAAACCATGCTGTTTCTTCTCATGTCTTTCATTGCCGCTTGACCGTTCCTCCTCGCCGTTTCCCAGCTTTTTCCTTAAGCTCCGTACCTACTAGCGCTTCAACCATTGAACCGCTCCTCGTCTCCCTGTGTCTCCTCCTTACCGTTCCTTTTCCGCCCTCTTTCTCCCCGCGCTTCTCCCCTTTGTCCCCCCCTTTGTGGTGGATACAGTCGATGGATGAGAACGGCCCCGTCACTCTCACAGCAGTGCCTCGCCGCACACGCACTGGTAAGGAGTGCAAACCCACGAGGAGCCTATTTGCTAAGTTGCTCGCTTCGCCCGCCTGTCGTGGAACCGTTGTTCTTCTCTCCCTTACTCCAGTGCATTGCTGTTCACTGACACTTGTACGCCATAATGGAGTGTTCGTGCTCGCGCACGTCGTTGTCATGTCTTGTTGTACCATGTTCCTTTGCACTACGAAGGGCTTCACGTGCCTGATTGCTTAGGCCTGGCACCTATTGTAGCTACAGCATGCCACAGCGCCTCACAGACGGATGAGTGGGCCGTGCAGCCTCAGCCATTCAGCGCCAGCCATTCAGCCTCAGCCTCTCAGTCTCAGCCTCTCAGTCTCAGCCTCTCAGAGTCTCAGTCTCAGCCTCTCAGCCTCAGCCTCTCAGTCTCAGACTCTCAGTCTCAGCCTCTCAGTCTCAGCCTCTCAGTCTCAGCCTCTCAGTCTCAGCCTCTCAGTATCAGCGTCGTTTTCTGATCATTGTCACACGTTTTGCGCCATGGTGTCCTGCTCAGGCTGACTTGTCTACCTGTCTCCTTCCCACTCCCGTCTCCATCTCCGCTTGCATCATCCTCCTCCTCCTCCTCCTCCTCCTCCTCCTCCTCCTCCTCCTCCTCCTCCTCCTCCTCCTCCTCCTCCTCCTCCTCCTCCTCCTCCTCCTCCTCCTCCTCCTCCTCCTCCTCCTCCTCCTCCTCCTCCTCCTCCTCCTCCTCCTCCTCCTCCTTTACTGAAACCACAGAAGGTGGTGCGTTCGTTGGGCCCTTTCAGCCAGGCCTTATGTGCTCCACGATCCCTGCCTCACGTGGAGACGCATTGCTCGAGGCTCCCGGCACTTCCCCTCTCTCTCCCCTCCACCTGCACCCAGAATGAAGCCCGATCCTCCAAGCCTCATTTTCCGAGCGTGACACTTGCTGTGCTTAAAATGGTGCTTTGCGAAAAGACAACTTAGTCTTCGTGTGAGAAACCTTGCAAGTTCTACTTCCCTCCCTCTTTCCTGTGCCTTTCTCTTGCAAACTGCAACCCCCTGTTTGTTCAATAGAGCCGTGGTGAGGCTGACGTCCGAGCCCCATCATCTGGACGTCACGCCCCGTTGGGACCGTGCATCGCATGAAGACAAGACACCTTGGTGTTTCACTTGTGATGTTCCTCAAAAGCTCGTCTTCCCTGCTCCCCTCCCCTGCGTCCCTGTTTGTACGCTACAGCCAAGGTGAAACGGTCGTCAGAGCCTCATCACCTGGACGTCACGCCTCGTTGGGACGGTGCTTCGCATGAAGACGCCTCACCGTCTCCTGGCTCGTGGGAGAGGGACAGAGAGAGGGAGAGGAAGGAGGAGAGGAAGGAGGAGCGCGGGAGAGACAAACGGGGGGAGAGCGAGCGTTGGCATGAGGGAAATGCGCTGACGCCGCCGCTGGGGTCGCACTCCCCGTCGGTTTTCTCCTCGCCTGCTGCTGGCGCAGGGGGGGAGAGAAGGGCGGAGGAAGGGGGAATGGGGCAAGAGGAAAGGCAGGAAGGGGACGATTGGGGAGTTAGCGGTGGTGGGAACGGGGGCGAGAGAGAGGCGAGCGGGGAGAGGGAGTTGAAAGGGCAGGCGGCTATGGCGCACGGCAGGGAGAGGAAGGTTATATCCGGGGAGGGCTCTCACTCTCGCAAGAGGAAAACGTCTGCTGCTGCGGCTGCTGCTGCCGTTGCAGCTGTGGCAGCAGCGGGTGCTGCCGCAGCTGGTGCTGGTGGCGTTGGTGTTGGTGACGCTGGTGTTGGCGGGTCTCCTGCAGCAGGGAAGGCAGCGGGTGCGTTTCTGGGGGACTCTGCAATGCAAAGCACGGGCTTACGATCCTGGCCGGGGTCGTTGAGCCCAGGGAGTGGAAATAACTTCGAACAGCAGGAAAGGTCGGAGGACGGGAGAAGGAGGGCGGTTGGGAGAGAGCAGAGAGAGCATGGGTCCCACGGCGGTGGGGTTGACGCTGGGAGGGAGAGAGGGGAGGGTGAGGCGGAGCAGGAGGGAGTGGGAAGTGGGGGGACGGGAGGTTTGAAAAGGGACCAGAGGGAACAGAGGGAGCATCGGCATCCTGTTGGGAAGAGAAGAGGGGTTAAGGAGGGGCGGGATGGGGTGCCTAGGGCCGGGAGGGAGCACAGGGAGCATAAGGATCATAAGGAGCATAATCAACGTGTTGAGAAGGAGGCGAAAGGGGAGAAGGAAGGGCATGAGCCGCAGCTGCTGCATCTGCGGCCGCATGAAACGGGCAAGAGGGGCAACAGGCACAAGCACGACTCGCCAGCAAACCAGGCTCGGGCTGCTGGACCTGCAGGCGGGCCTAGTTCGGAGCAGCTGGAGCTGCCGAGTCAAGGTTTCCCGGTTCAGGAGTTAGGGAAGGGAATGGCGCAGTTGAGTCAGAACCAGGGAGCGGGAACGGGGCTTAGAATACCGCCGTTCTCTTCCCCGTTTCTCCAGCAACCGCTACAGGGGTTGGCACAGCCGCTGCAGCAGCAGCAGCAGCAGCAGCAGCAGCAGCAACAGGATCCTTCAGCATCACTTCATAAGCATGGGCACGGGCATGGGCATGGGCTTGCGCATGGGCATGGGCATTGGCATGGGCACGGGCATGGGAAGTTCGGGCATGGGCATGGGCATGGGAGCTTGGGGCCTGTCCCTTCCCATTCCCTGCCTGACTCCATGCCTCCCCATTTGCCCGGCCAGTCCGGTCACGGATTGCAAGCAGGAGGGCACGGACACGGGGCGGCAGTAACAGGTCTTGCGCCTGCTGCAGACCGCATGGGGGGCAGCGAGGGGGGAAGCTTGGGGGGAGCCTGGGCTGGGAGCAACGAGGGGGGAAGCTTGGGAGGTGCCCGGTTCGGAGGCAGTGAGGGGGGGAGTCAGGGGGGAGACATGAGGCAGCCTGGCGGACAAGGGCTAGGGATGCCAGGGGGGGTTTCTGTGGCGGCTGGTGCGCCTGGGACGCGTCTGTCTGGTGCTGGTGGTTCTGTGGGAGTGGGGGTTGGAGAGGGGGAGGTGCGAGCAGCTCGATCCAAGCCAAGGAAGAACGAGGTTCGTGGCCCCTTGTTGCATCTCTACTCTCTACTTTTCTCTGTCTTCTTTTCCTCCCATACTCTTGTTCCCTTGCCCTTTGTGTATACTTCTTTGTATCCATTGTCCAGCATACTCTCTCTCTCTCTCTCTCTCCTAGTGTGCCTCATCTGTCTTCTCGCATCTCCACTCATCTCCTCTCCTATCATCTCCCTTCCTCTCCTTTCACCTCGTCTCATAGATTACCAGTTCCTGTGCTACAAACCCTCTTCCTCTAAGCGACTATGTTCCTTTTCGTGCATTTTTTCCTCTACCAGAGAGCAGCAGCAGCGGCAGCAGCAGCGGCGGCAGCAGCACAAGCAAGAGCTGAAGCCGGTGATCCAAAGCACAGGCTGGGAGGGGACACGGATGCATCCCACATCAGACCCTTCGCGCTCCCTCCTACTCCGTCTCCTCCTCCTGCTGCTGCTGCTTCTCCTGCTGCTCCTGCTGCTACTCCCGCTCGCCCAAACGCGTCAGCAGCAGCAGAGATGGGATCTGGTTTCGCTAGCAGCAGCCACGCAGCAGCAGTGCCAGCAGCAGCAGCAGCCGATGCAGCCTCTGGGTTCATATCCCCCCACACAGACGCTGCTGCTCCTGCAGCAGCGGCAGCTGGGGGTGGGGCGGCACATGTGGACTGGCGCTTAGGACAGGGTCACGCTGCCTCTGGGGTTGGGGCTGCAGCTGAGTCCGGGGAGAGCAAAGCGGCTGGGAAAGCGGGTGGTGGGCATGGGGATGGGGAGGGAGCGTTTGCAGGGAGAGGGAGGGGAGTGAGAGGTCTGGGTCGAGGGGGACGAGGCGGGGGACGGGGAGGAGGAGGAGGGGGAGGAGGAGGGGGTGGGGGAGGTGTTGGTGGTGTGGCGGGTGTGGTTGTTTCAGCAGGAGGAGAAGGAGAGGAGGGAAGAGGGGGAGGTGAGGGAGGCAGGGGAGGAGGTGGGAGTGGAATAGAGGAAGGTACTGAAGCTGGTGCAGGGATAGCAGTAGGTGGTATGGGCGCTGCTGGTAGTACTGGCGCCGGTGTCGCTGCTGCTGGCGCTTCTGCTGCAGCTGCTGCTGCTGGGGCCGCGACAGTGTTTGCTGCAGCAGCGGCTGGTGCGGTAGGTGTTTCCTCTTCAGCAGCAGCTACTGCAGTGCCGGCTGCAGCTTCAGGCGGGAGGAGCAGAGGCGGGGGGCGGGGAGGGGGGGGAACTGGGCCCAGAGGCGGGGGGAGGGGGAACAAAGGGGAGGGAGGGGAGGGCGGAGGGCGAGGGGGGAGGGGGGCGAGGAGTGGTAGGGGAGAGGGGGGAAGAGGAGGGGCTGGGCAGGCAGGGGCCGGCGAAAAAGTAAAGGGACGCACGGCAAAGGTAAGCTTGGGTTTTCCTTCTCTGTCCCTGTCTTTCGCCTCGTAGTTCCACCATTCTGTCAGGTTTGTCAGCAAGGTGTGACCCTTTTTGAGAGTTCTCAAAGGTGTGACCTGTTTCTCCCGGTCAATATCTCCTATCCTTTCAACGGTCCCAAGTTGTCCCATTTCCTTTGCTCTTATTTGTTCCCGCCGTCTCTCGTCTCCAGGCCAAAGCAGCAGCAGCAGCCACAGCAGCAGCAGCGGCTGCTACAGCGTCTGCCCCCACGCCAGGTCCCCACCCCCCTGCAGGCCGGCCAAAAGCCGGCCCGGGAGCAGCAACTGGGGCAGCAGGGGGAGCAGCAGCAGGGGCGGCTGGGCCTGGTGGTAGGCCCACTGCTCCTGTGTCGATGTCAGCACAGGAGGCAGAGGTAGCAGAGGCGCTCTTTGACTTTGCCAACCTGCTCGCGTTTGGATCAAATGAAGCCGAAGAGGAAGGTGCTGATGGCTCTGCCGCCGCTGGTGGTGGTGCTGCTGATGGCGCTGCCGCCGCTGCTGCGGCAACGGCTGCAGCTGCGGCGGCGGTGGCGGCTGGTAGTGCTGCTGCTGCCAATGGGGTGACTGTAGAGGGTGTGGGTGTACAGCAAACGGGAGTGGTTAGAAAGAGAGGGGAGGGTGCTGGGAAGAGAGAGGAGGGGGTGGGTGCAGCAGGGGGAGAAGGCGGGCGGAAGCAAGGTGGTTCCAGGAAGGACGAGTCAAGGAAACGAGGG